GGTAACGTGTTGCCCGGCGCTGCCTGCCACTGACAAAGGTTCTCTTTCTTCCTGGGGGTTTGGGAATAAAGTGTTTTGCCCCCCTTCCCCTCCTTCCCCCCCCCCCCCCCGCAACTGTTTTAACTGTGTTGAACAAAGTTGTTGATACGAGGCTTAGCGTTTTGTTTGCACTCTACATAATTTGACGTCTCTGTTTAGTGTGCATTTTGCTTATAATCATGCCACTAGCCTTTCCAGGGAGACTTGTGGAGGCTGGAAATTAGGTGACTGGGACCCTTTTACTATGCCACTAAACTTTAAAACTTAATTTGTACATTTAAAGAGATCTGTAACTTGATGAGATGCTCACTTTTCGTTGTGTACATGTTCAGAACCTATTTCGTTATCCTGTTACTGCATTCATTTGTAAACGTCAATGCACTTAGTTTGATGTGGAGAAAACTGGAACATAACTGTTTCACTGGTAACACACAGACTCACACACCTCATTCCTGATCGCCGGCCTGTACGTGGTTGGGCAGTGTACACTTTGACTTCTGTTCTTGTTTTGGTAAAGGTTGGACAGTACATGGCTCCCTGAGTCCTGAGATCTAATTAGAGACGTGGGTCAGGCTGGGAGCATGCGGCCAGCCTATTGTGGACAGCTCATTGCTACAGAGGCCAGTTTGCTCCGCAACAAAGTTTGGAGAGTTTAAATAGTCAATTTCTGAAAATTATTTTTAAGTTAAATATGCTCTGAAATCTAACAGCAGCTTAGAAATACTTAAAAGGCCAAACTTTTTGTATGAACTCAGCACATTTCAAGCATTTTCATCTCTGGCAGTGATGTCAGAAAGAGAATCAGTGTGAATTTTACTGCAAGGTAGTGTGTTAACCTAGTCTTTTGGGAAGCCAGACGTTGAAGGCATACAGCTGACAGGTAGATTGACATTGGACCCAGCCTCGTACTGGTTCCTGGGAGAAACCAGCTCCTTAGCTCTGGACCTGAGCTTCTTTGCATGGTAGCTGCTGTGCCACTTGTGCATTTCACATGGGCCTTGCAGGATTCATTAGATAATAAGGCCTGTTGGACAGTGAAAAGCCCTGATCCCTTTAGATATCACAGGCTGCCCCCACCCCTCCCTTTCACTTACATTAACTCTGTTGAGCCCAGCTATGTGCTGGGCACTTTGCTGCCGTGTGTCCAGCTCATTGGTGAGTAAAAGGCAGTGGTAATTCTTACAGTGCCTGCAGGCCAGACTTGGGGAGAAGGAAGGAGGGCATCATTAAGATTAGCACCTGGGTTGTCGGCCCTCAGTAGATATTGGTTGCCAAAAAGGAAAACAGGACAACTCAAACAGTATGTAAAGAATAGTGTGTAAAGTACATAGTGCTTTGAGAACAGTTCAGATTGTCCCTGACCAAGGAGCACGCAGTTTTGCCTTGAGCCAGAGATGGACACAGTGGAGTTTTATTTTCTATTCTCAGCTTTCCACATCTGCTTAGTCTTCTACAGGTCTGGGTGGCCTCTGTAAGGTTGAGTGTGAGAAGTTCCTCGGATGGGTCAGATTAAACATTGCGGTTGGAGAAGGGGAAGGGTTTCGTTTTGGGTGTCTCAGACTATTTTAATGTGGACTGTAGAAAGATTATAATTTATAAAGTAGCATAGAAACAAACCATGTCTAGAATTTCTGTCTTCATGATTTTTGCCATCTATTCATGACTTAAGAAATGAGGGTTTGTTTGCTTGTTAACAATAAGTAATGACTGCTGAAGAAATCCTTCTCTTTGTATTTTGTTTGTTTAGTGGTGCTGTGGATGAAACCCAGGGCCTTGTAGTGCTAAGCAAGCACTGAACCAGCCCTGGTGAACACTCTTCTGACACATGACTGTTGCAGTGTGTTTTGAGAGCCTGAAGGGACAATAGTGTTACACAGATGACCTGGGTGGAAGGGTCTCTGCCAGGTGTGGAACTGTGGGCCAATTGTGCCGTCTTTCAGAGGTGGGCTTTCCCAGCTTTAAAAATGGGTATCATAATTGTGGAACCCCTTGAGCTGGTTTACCCTTGGGTCAGTGTCAGAGCAAGTGTCATAGTGGAAGGGCAGAAGCCATCTGAAGCTTAAAAGTCCACATCGCTGGGTGGCTACATGTTTCCTGCTGAGGACCTACTGTGTTTGTGGCATTTACTGACCTGGAAGCTCCACATAAGCACTGGAGCTCTTCCCCATTGACCGCCCGAGACTCAGCCTCACTCTCCCCACTCACCCTTCTAGAGATGTCGCTAACCTACTGACCTCACTTTTCCTGCCAATTAGGAGAGATGAATTACTTACAGAAGCAAGACGTTTTATACCTAATAGCTAGATGGTAAAGAATCCAGTAATGAACTGTGAAGAAGATGGTCCTTATGGTCAGTAGGCTGAGTCCGTCACCAAAACCTTAAATGATACTTATCAGCTAGTTGTCTAGGTGACTTTTAAATTACGACCAGCTTTAGAAGGAAATATTTTATCCATCTTCACAATCAGAATTGTTAGAATGAAGAATCTTGGTGTGATGACCACTCAAGTGCTTTGAAATCTCACATATTTGAAATTCTTCCTCACGGGTCCTGAACAACTCAAGGCAGGTTATGAAAAGCTCCTTATGCCAAGAAACTCAGTCCTGGTAGGGGGTTGTGAACAGGTCAGAGGTTTCCATCCTCACTGAGTGACTATAGCGTGATGGGCCACAGGCTATGGATGAGAAAGACAGGCCTTGTCATAGCAGCCCTGGGTAGGAAGTGGGTGAAGTATGGCGTGGCTGCTGAGACCTTTCTTAGGTCGTCTCATAAATGACACACAGTTCTGGGGCCCGAGGGCTCTGGGCAGAGGACCCTCGTGACAGCATAGCTATGTTTATACCTACATAGAAACCCACAGGAGGATTTCTGATTGTGAAACTCAGCTCTATACATGCCTATAGTGGCCCTTTTTCTGGCAGGTATTCTATATGGGGATTCAAGAGATGGCTTAATAAGGTGTCAGGCACTGGCCTTATGATGCTGCAGACAGTGTAATTGCAGTCAAGTGCAGACCACTCTAGGGGTGTGTGTGTGTTTCTTACTGCTGTGGGTCCACAAGAGCCCTTTGGGACTTTGTGATCACAAAGGGGATCATCATGAGAAAGAACAGTGCATGAGTTTTCCCTGTGAGGACAGTGTGGGTTATGGAAGACTGCTGAGCAGATTGGAAGTGTGCAGAAGGGAGGCTATCGTGGTGATGTGGTGCCTCTCAGCAGTGATGTGAACCTATAGAATGCTGAGCGTCCACCAGCAACTCCACTAACCTTTACTTGTGGGGTGGTTTGCCCTAGCTCGAGATGACAAATGGGCATTCGTGAGACTGAAGAGCTTGTTTTGGATCATTCTGCTGATGAGCCTCAGAACTTGAACCCCAGGGGTCTATGCTTTCTTATGTAACATACTTTCTTGTACATGCAGTGGGTAACAGTAAAAAGATTTGAAGGTTAGCATAGCATTACCATTTTATAA